CGACAAGTTGAAACTCAAGCTCGAGGTTTACGAACAGAGTGCGAAAGTATTGGAAGATGGCGAGGACGAGATTCGAAAGGCATTCGTGATTAAGACCAAAGAGTATGTGGAAGCTTCCGGCGAGGCTTTAATCGCGAACAGAAAGGTCGTTGCTCTTCAACGGTTGTTGACTAAAGAGACGAGGAAAGCTTACCAGGATCGAAAGGAAGCGATTAAGAACGAGAGCTACTTGAACAAGGCGTTGGCCGATATCACTAAACACAACAAGATTCTCGAGCGCGAGATGTCGATATTGCAGAGTAATCTGTTCAATTCCGTTAGCTCGACCACCCACAACGAGTTGAAAGAGAAGCACGAAGAACTGAGCATACGCTTTCGAAATTTGATGGAGAATAATTTGATGCTAGGCAATGACGACGCGACAGACAGATTGAAGACAGAGTTGGAATTAACGAAACGGGAGAAAGATCAACTCGCGGATCACTTGAAAAGAGAGACTCGCGGCGAGGGCGGTGAAGACTCAACGAATTCGATTGAAAAACTGAAGGAAGCTCGGGCGAGGGAGCTTCTGGAAAAGCAACGGGCTGACCACGTAACCAGCCTGCGCGAGATTTTGCAGACTCAGTTGTCGAAATGCGAGGAGAATCTGAAGGAGGTAGCTGCTGCTAAGTCTGAACTGCAGGAAGAGCTGATCGTTCTGCATAAAAGATTGTCCAAAGATCTGCAGTTCGAGAGAGGAGCTGAACAAATGGACGACAACAGAGTGCAAGAATTAAAGGACAACAACGCGACCCTTCAGATTGAGATAGAGAGTTTGAAGAAGCGACTGCAGATCGTTCAGGAGGAAGCCAAGCAGCAATACTCGTTGAATTCGTTGAAAACGATGGAGCTGGACAATCTCAGGCATCACATATTAAATTTGCAAGCTGTCAGCGAGGACAAAGCCACGATCTCGAGGCTGGACTTCGAGCTGGCGAGTAAAAATTTATTAGAGACAGAGTTGAATGCGCAGAAAATTCGATTGGAGAACGAGGTGTCGTGTCTGCAGGAGGAGCTCGATAAATCGAGGACAACTTGCGAGGGATTGCGCAGTTACGTACAGGATTGTCGGAAACAATGCGACAATCGTTGCAGGTAACGTTTCTTCGTTTTTCAGGAAAGTCTGGGAAAGTTTAATTTTCTCTAACGTCCAGCGTGTTGTCCACGAAAATTGCCCGATAAATTTGTTTGAATTCTTAAGAGTTTTAATGGCGGAGCAAGCTACAATTTTACAAACGTATGCTTGAAGCAGAAATTGGAATCGAATTTTTCGAAGAAATTTCGGCAATGTTTCGTCCG